TGGGCTGTGTTGCGCTCGTTTTTCTTATGTTTCGACGTCGTTTCTTCAAGCATAAATGGTACCAAATTAAGCAAATGAGCTCCAATTTCTATTTTGGTTGAAGCATTAGATTCGTGTCGTAATTACCGAGGAATAGAAAAAAGAATCGTAGAATTTGGACATCGTATGAGGATTTTATGGTCATTTTACTAAGAATTGGGTCCCAGCTTTTTTCCATATTAATTACGAAATTGCCACTGCTTCGTATTTAAAAATCTGCACTATTTCCAACTATTGAAACCAACATATCTCCTTCATTATAAAGTCAAATGGAGTGATTCAAAAGCCTATCTTGACTGAAATTTCACAAGGAGTCCATTGGAGGCATCAAAAGAAAGTTTCGGGATCGTTTGGAATGCAAAACGAGGCAGAACAACTGGGCAAAATTACTTAATATGGAAGGTTTGTTCATTTGGTCATATTTTGAGTTGGGGAGCTTGGATTTGTATAATTTTTGGAGGCGATTTTCACCATATGGATTATGGTAAGTGTTCTATACTCGATTTTGGTTATATTTCATGAATCTATCTTCGTTTTTGGCATTTGATTGATGATTTCAAAGTGAAACTTGGGGGTTTTGTCTAAAATTTCATAAAGTGAATTTTGGAGTTTTGAACACCAATTTGGAGTCGGATTTGAGTGAAACTAGTATGGTTGGACTCGTAATTGAATGGGTTATCGAATTTTGTAAATTTTGTCGGTTTCCGAGGTGCGAGCCCAGGTTGGGCTATTTGGCCGATTTTGGGCTTTTGATTAAAGATTCGACCTTTTTCGATTGGGATTGGTTCCTTTAGCATTATTTGATGTGTTTGAGTTGCTTTTGACTAGTTTTGAGTCGTTCGGAGGTCGCTACGCATGAAATGACACTCTTGGAGCATCGCTTGGCTTGCTCGGCATTTGGAATTTGCTTGTTTGAGATAAGTAACTCTTCTAAACTTAGTGCTAAGGGTATGAAACCTCGAATTATGTGTTATGTGATTGGTGTTGAGGTGACGCACATGCTAGGTGACGGGCGTGTGGGTGTGCACCCTGTGATTTGTGACTCTATTGTTTCCAGGGCACTGTTTAGTGGCCCACTTCGTTGATATTTGTGTTTTTCACCATGTGATAAAGTAATTGAGCTGTACATCATGGTAGATATCATGTTTAGGCTTTATGCCGATATTGTTGGGACCCCTAGCGGTCGCTTCTTGCTGTCATCTAATTGATTTCATTGATATTTCGTACTCAGTCACATTCATGCATTCATATCATATCTTAGTCTCACTTGTTACTTATTGATACGTCATATCATTATTCCGGGTCAGTTTTCATGACATTGTGAGCTCGTGGGTGAGACTGGATAGATTGATGATTGAGTGAGGACGAGAGCCTGATTATGAGTGACAATTGTGGGATCGGGCTGCACGCCGCAGCATGTTTTATTGATTTATGCCATGATTGGCTTGTTATAGCGCTTGGGCTGAAGGAGCCCCTCCGGAGTCTGTACACCCCTAGTGAGCGCGGATGATATTATTGAGGGATGGATTTCCCTGGACATGGATTTGTCCGAAGTATTTGATATCTGGAGATGATTTCTCCATAGGGTTGGATTTGCCCTTTTCCTCGGTATTGGGTGACTTATAGTCAGTGTTGTATATGTTCCGGGATGGATTTCCCTGGGCTGCATGGGCCATATACAGTACCAAGTGGTTGAGCATTTATATATTATTGAGAGATGGATTTCCCTGGACATGGATTTGTCCGAAGTACTTGACACTTGGAGATGGATTTCTCCACAGGGTTGGATTGCCCTTTTTCCTCGGTACTGGGTGACTTATAGTCAGTGTTGTATATGTTCCGGGATGGATTTTCCTGGGCCGTATGGGCCATATACAGTACCGAGTGGTTGAATATGATGAGTGGAAAGTGTGATACAGTGAGGTTGAGTACTCTAAGAGTGTGAGTACATGATCATCTATGAGATACATGGCATACCTGCATAGAGACGCATTTTCCTCATGTTGTACGGCATCACATCATTCATGACTTTTTACACACATTGATATGTGGGCATAGAGTGGTATTTCACACTCGTTATTTGGAAAGGAAATGAAACATTTTTATGTATTGTGGAAAGGATTTTTCAGGAAAATTACAGTTTTTAAACTATCTCAAAATTTTTCGATGATTTCGATAAAGGATTTGGGTTTTTCACTGATATTCCGAAAAGTGGAATTATTTTCGGAAAATTGTGCAAAGGCTGAACATTTTTATCTTTGAGATTATTTCTTTGTTTATATGCTCTATGTTGTATGAACTGCTGTTGGTTATTGGTGTTGGACCTGACCTTTGTTCTAGCTCGTCACTGCTTTCAACCTGAAGTTAGGTTTGTTACTTTTTGAGTACATAGGGTCGATTGTACTCATATTGCACTTCATGCACATTGCGTACAGATCTCGGATGCCGATGTTACAACGTTCGATGGTTGTTGGATTCGAAGGCGTACCTGCGTTCCTGCTGTAGCTGCCTCTTGTTCATGGTAGCCTTAGATTATTAAAATTCTGTTTATGTACTTTTCAAACAGAATACGTATTTTCTTCATATCAACTTTATAAACTCTATTCTTAGAAGCTCATGATTTGTACTGCCAGTCCTTGGGAAATGTAATAGATCCAGATAATTTATTTTGTTTAATTGACTTATTAGCATTATTGAAATTGAATAGTTATTAGTTGGCTTACCTAGCGGGTTGGGTTAGGTGCCATCATGACTAGTGAATTTTGGGAACTGTAATCTTCTCTATTATTTCTAGCATTGTTTCTATTGCAAATTTACTACACATGTTATATTCGTGAGTTTCTTTTGACTTAAAAACCTCACCACTACTTCACCGAGATTAGTCAAGATATTTACTGGGTACATGGGATTGATTGTACTCATACTACACTTCTGCAACTTGCGTGCAGATCTTGGAGCTGTGTAGTTGTGGAAGTCGGAGCCTTGTATTGAAAATGTATCCGCACTCCAGATACCAGCTACTAATTGTTTTTGGTTGTTTAGGATTTATATTTCTGTTCATGTAAATTTCGAACAGATTATGTATCTTTTCTCAAACTGAAATTGTAATCTTATTCGTAATCGCTCGTGACTTGTACTACCAGTTCTTGGGATATTGTATGAAATTCAGTTATATCATTTGTTGACCACTTTTATTTCATTAGAACTGTATTGACTGTTATTTGGCTTACCTAGCAGGTTGAGTTAGGTGCTATCACCACTAGATGAATTTTGGGTCGCAACAGCTTTCTAAGAGTCTTTTATTCCTATTAGAGATCTTTATACTAGTAGGAAATATATAAAATTTCTAGTATTCTTTGTTTTTATTTTGTATAATGTTGGATTGAGATAGATTTGAATGAGAATTGTGTCAGTTGTTGTTGTTGTTGCATTATCTTTGAAGAATGAAGAGAAAAATAACAACAAAAATTATTATTTTTGGATGGAAAGAAAAAACTAAAGAAACTCTGTATAGGGTAAAATATGTTCATATTAAATGCTCGCATGATAAAACAACACGTGGAGCCGAAAATAGAAGACAATCGGGTTCGAAGGCAACGATCTCGTTTGTTACCGAAGAGAATGATATTCATAAAGGCGAAGTAAATGCCTGCCATCTGGTAGCGTTTAATGGAGAATATTCTTTAGCATTAAGTACATGACCCGTTACAGAGAATATGACATTCACTGCCTACTGTTACACATTCTTCAACGTCCCTCATAATTGTCATTAAAGAGGGGTTTGATCCTAGGACTTTTGTTCCGTAGGTGCAACTATAAATAGTGAGCTCTAGAATCATTGTAGGAGGAAAAATTGACTGACTAGCATATACTATACTCTGTTCAAAGCTCAATACTATTTTATCTTTTTGCTTATTAATATTGTCACTACTGCCTCCCGGTACCAGGATTTCTGCTGTTCTATCTCGATTTCAACGCTAAGTCTTACATTCTTGTTTAATGTATTTATCATTTTAGGATCAAATCGATTCACTTGTCTATAAACCACGTATAAATTCAATTGTACGATTTTATGGTTAAACAAATTCCAAATGCAAATTTGCGCTCTTCGACCTTTTGGCATGATTATATGATTTTCTCATTCAGTTATTGAAGGAAACGATAGAGAACTAAGAAATTAATATTGATCTGCGGAAAGAATACTGTCGCAAATAAAAATAGATGGGATTTAATATTAGCTGTCTGTGTGAGAGAGGAGCAGAAGTCACGGATCGGAAAGACAATAAAACAGTAGAGAAAATGACTTACTATTATATTTAGTTTTGATATATACATGTGTGGCTATGAACAAACGTGTGTACGGAATATAGACATTGCATGAGCTAAACTGTCAAAGGGAGTCCGTGATGTTCCTTTGTCTTTACCCAAAAATAAAAGAGAATGAACAAAAAAATATCTGTTTGGAAAGTAAGGAAGGGAAAACAAAGAAATATACATAAGATAAAAAAAAATTATCCTTCACTTATTATGACAAACATGAAACATTTTGATGAATGGTCTTGTAAATATATGTTCATTATTATTTATTTTTAGTTCTCCAGACACTTCACCTTAGCCATGGAAACTGGAATTTCATCAAGGGAATTCAAAAAGAATGCTCTCTTCTGTCTTGGATAATAATTTATTTATATACATATAAAAAAAAAGTTTTCACTTATATATACAGTACAACATTTCAGCAAATATGGCTCCGTTGATACAAAAAATAAAGAGAAAAAGAAATGACAGAAATTACTGAAAATACTATAACTAGAAAGATAAAAGAACAATCCAAGGAATTAACCAAAAAAGAAAATGCAAGTAATTTGTTAGTATAATGTTCTCATGCAGGTTCCCCTCATGAAAACATATCAAGAAATGGATACTACTAGTTTATTTCCTTTTGATTTCTTGTTACTTTCTTGATCTAACATCTCTCACCCTTAAAGAACAATCAAAGTGCAAGTCCCTTTGACAAAATACACAGTCAATATTACAAACTTGTATATTTTGCACAAAGTTACTTGTATATACACTTGACTTCATTTCCCTTTGAATCATCTTGAAATGAGGATGTTCTTGAATCCTCCTTGAGAGCATCTAATTCTGAGAATAACATAAGAAATAAACCTGTAAAGCAAGATGAAACATACAATAATGAGCAAATTTTTTCTTCTACTTTCTTCTCCACCATATCCTTCCTCTTTAAGCACTTGATCACCTCTAGCCAAACACATCCCAAACATGTATTGTAGGCATTTTCCAGATCCAGAGAACTCATTAATCAAGAACCCTTCAAAAGGATACTTAAACAATGATATATAATGCATTACAATCCAATAATTTGGAATCTCATTCTTTGAAACAAAGTATCCTGAGAACAATGCACATGATCCCATCATACCACAAACCAATGAGTTTCCAATAATGAAGTTTGGGACTAAAGCACTACAGCAAACAACTACTGAGTTTGCTGTGTAGAGAATGAGCCAAATGAGGAGCAAAAAGTGCATAAATGCAGTAAACTGTTTATTTAGACCAACCAACCAGTATAATGGAACTGAGAATAGCAATGCAAGAATGAGCAGAAATGGCAAGTAAACAATGCCATTTGCTATTGCATAGGAGGAAACTCTATAGCTCCCACAAGAAGTTTCTTTCATTAGTATCTCCCTTTCTTGCAAGAATATTGGCAAGGCTTCTGTTGTACTTGACAACAGATATGTCAAGATGAATGCAAATAGACCTACTCTTGCTTGTGCTCCAACTAAATTATCTTCAAGATTGTAAAAAACTGATCCTAAAACAAGACCTGAAACCAACATTTGGAGTGTCTTACAACCAAAAAGCTCCTTTGTTCTGTATATGATTTTCCAAAATCTAACAGTGAGAATTACAATCTCTTGCAATCTTGAATTGGCAAAACCACTTGGGAAATCATTACCAACATGGATAGACATAGACAAGTCTTCATCAATCAGTTTAGATTGTTGAAAAAGTTGCTCCAGAGTAAACTTACCTGAATTCTTGATCATGAGTGCTGATTGAGGAGTAGTGTGGTTTTGTTTTTGAATTGTATCAATCGATTCGATAGCGAATTCCAGGATATTAACATGAAGGGGAAGCTGCAACCCCATTAACATAAGCCTTAAACTAAGCTGTTCAATGGTTCCATGATGCAAGGTTGTACCATTAGCCAAAAGAAGGATTGAATTAAACAGCTTCATGATCCTGTAACATGGCTGATGAATACTTAGAATTATCGTTCGACTACGAGTTACAGCCATGGTTTTAAGCATGTCAATGATTTGCAAAGCTGAAGTACTATCAAGTCCTGAAGTTGGTTCATCAAGAATAAGAACTCCAGGGTCATGGATTAATTCAACACCAATGGAAACTCTCCTCCTTTCACCACCCGAAATCCCTCGAATTCGATCATCACCAATCCTGGATCCAGAAACATGTTCTAAGCCAAGTTCTTGAATCAAAGACTTTACCCTTGACCTCAATTCTGTTCCAGGAAGTCTTAGCCTTAGCTTTGCACTAAAACTCAAGGTTTCTTCAACAGTTAACAGAGGAAAAAGAGTGTCCTTTTGAGTAACATAGCCTGAAAACTTCTTGAACCTAGCTTTATCTACTGGCTTTTGGTTCACAAAAATAGATCCATTTTGTGGTTCAATCTTGCCTGCCAAAATCTCTAGAAATGAAGATTTTCCAGCACCACTTGGACCAACAATGGCTAGAATTTCCCCTACTTTTGCTCTGCAATTCACATCCTTAAGCACATGCCTAACTTTAGGAATACTTCCCTTTTCCAATTCCTTCACTTCATGTAAATCTTGAACTCCTCTAGAACACTTCTGATGATGGTTTTTACTAAAGATTTTAAAAGGGTTTTCTCTCTTTTGTGTATAGATTGTGTAGTTGATTCCTATTGCTTCAATATCACAACCTTGTTTCTTCATTGAAGAAGTTAACTAGCTACCTCCACTCACAGATTTGCTTTGTTCTTTGTGTACCTTTTTACCTCTCTTTTTCTAAGTTTCTAAAGTTTTGTTTTGTACTCTATAAGCTGTTCTTAGTTTCTGTATTTGAATATTTTTAATCAAAAAGCAGCTATTTGCTCATGAGATTCAAGAACTATTGGCAGTTAGTGGCTGGAAGTTATCAAAATATAATGACCTCTAGTTTCAAAGGGATTTTGTTTGATAGTTTCACGTGAATTTGTTCTGTGCAATTAGTTCACGTGTCAGCATGCATGACAACCTAGAACTCCAATTCAATAGGGTGTAGAGTAGTAGTATTATTGATGCTTCAATTTCATAGCCTTGTAGGTCGTTCTTCACCACCTTCGAAAAAAAATATATATTTAATTAGATGCATATCAAGTTTTCATATCATGCTAGACAAATGAGTTATCGAAAATTAATTTCACATATCATTAACTATATGCCTAATACTATATGCCTTTCATATGAAATCAATTCTACTTGAATTGTTTTTCTAGACTTAAGATCCTCATATATATATATATATATATATATATATATATATATATATATATATATATATATATATATATATATATATATATATATAGCGCTATCATAGATGTAGTCGGCGAACACTTTATATCGGTTCCAACCTCCTTATTTTTCATAAAGACATAACATAAAGATCTCTTCATTTATATATTCAGGTACCTGAACCTCTCCTGAGATTTTATAAAGTGTTATGTCATGTGATCTCCTGGATCACTTGCCTCCTTATTATGATCATTTGATCATTTGCTCATCTTCTTTATTAAGGGTTTTATTTGAAACTGATTGTCTATACGCTTTAAACGTACCATAGTCTTTGTCCCTCTAGGACTTATTCTAATAGGAGCATTTGCAGTGAGAATATAGTTAAATGCGTCTGGCATGCTTTGTGACATACTGCAGATGAGTTATCTTTTTATGAACTTCAAGTTCATATTATCTTATTCGAGGATCTAGATGTACAAATGATAATTCATTCCACGTAACTTTTTCTCAACTGTTTATCATGTCTCCCACTCATGTTAGAAAAACTAACTTGTTTCCTCAACTTTGGGAACCCATCTTTGTGTGTTATGGTGTTAATCAAAATATACACCGCACATCAAGAATAATAAGATGGAATTATTTGGTTCCTGGCCATGAACCAGTTGTGAGGGGAGAATGTAATATACTTTCGTGTATAACGTATATCAAACTGATATAGATAACTTTGTTCTCATAAGCAATAGTTAAGCTATTAAGTGGAGGCAGTCAATAAATCATTTTGTTAAACCAATTGTGGAATAAACCAACTTATCAAGATTAACTATCTTGAATAGATAATCTGGAATATGCTCTAAATTAAATTATTGAGCAAGTCACCTCGCAAACATCATGTTGCGAGTTAATAATAATTGCACATGTAACCATCTCATAGATGCATCTTATGTGGTATACATGGCATGTGAATGGGCCCATATTCACTTTTGATATTTTCAGCATTCATGGGATTCAATCCCAATTTTAGTTTGTATATATATTAATAAGAACAAGCAACATAAGAGAATTAGTAAAAAATTTATTAGTTCTTTAATATTTACCCATGTGAATTATCTTTTATTTTTGCACATCATTCATAAATTAACATGGCTAAACCAATTATGCCAACTGAATAAATTATCAATATTGATAAAGTTCAAGTTTACACCATGACATCTGCAATTATTAATAAACTCCAAATTTATTATGGTATGAGTTTTTATATCAATAAACATCTACTTTATTGTGGTATTCTTTTATTTGTGTAGTACAAACTGGAGAATAAAGCGGGTAATTTTTTACATATATATTACCCCACTACAAGTTGTAGTAATAAAAGATATTAAATCTTTCCTTTATTTATAGTCTCAGTATAACCAACCACTTTCACGAATACTTTAGAAAGTCAATTAAGTTTCTTTGAGACTTACTACGACACAATAAATTGAAATGATAATCAATTGTATTCCTCCAAAATAGTAATAATTGATTCTTACAGAGCTCTCAATAAATTTTGTACTACCACATATTCATCAAAATCCTTACAATGAATATCTCTTTTAATGAGAAAGTTATACCATTATGGTCAAAATTGTATGCAAGATATATTTTTTGCATTACTGTTGTCCTTTAATAATCACATTGCCAAAATATTTTGGCGTACAATAGGTACTTAACAAATGACTATTCATTCCATAATAATGACATTATTTTCTTATTTTCCTCAAACCTCGCATTCTAGAAGTGAGTGTGGTATATTCACTACCACTAGCACGTTCATATTCTTTCAAGAATGAATATGTACTCATAAATCACTTGTTGTCACATTCATTTCATGAATGAACCATAATCATCTATATGTGCTTTACAAAATCTCATGTCAAATCGATGACAAAAATTACTTTCACAAAGTGAAGGATTATTTTGAGAATCCTTATTGTTCTCATTACCACGATGATGACGATTATAATTTCGTCTATTACCACGTCCACATCCATTGATACCTTTACGGTAATAATTTTGTTTTTTTCCAGACTTATTACATATTGCTACTACATTCTCTTAAGGAAATGAGAATGAAGCAAATTCAATGGGACGGGTTTCCACTTCTTTGCCCACAATCATACATGAATTTGATCATGGCAAGACATAGAAATTTTACCACTTTGGGTGGTTATAATTTCTTTCAAACTCCATTAGAGTTACAATCAAACTTTATCGTCTTTGCTTGTATTTAAAACAAAATTATAGAATGTCAAGAATTTAAAAGTGAAAAATAAAGTAAAATACTTACCTTAAATCCAGAATTTAATCATGATGGAAGTTCATGGAACAATTGACAATCACTTAGAGTCTCGTACTGATAACGTGTTATGAAATAATAAAAGAAGAAGAAGCGTATTGCGGAGAAAAGTAGGGAGAGAATTCTTATTCATTTTGAGATGAATTACAATGGAATAGAACCCCTCTATTTATAGGGGGAAAACTAACTTAGCCACCAAGTAACAAATCCTAGAATTTCTCTAGAATATAGACATTCACCTTAAATAGAATTATATTTATAATATTTTTCAATTTTTTTAAAGTTAAAGTGTTTGGCCAAGCTTTTAGCAAAAAATAAAATAAAAATGGCTTTGAATAGAAGCAGATGCAGTTTTGGAAAAATAGAAAAAAGTAGCTTGTTCCCAGAAGTACTATTTTGAGAAGCGCTTTTGAGAAAAATACACTTAGAAGCACTTTTTAAAAGTTTGGCCAAACACTAATTGCTGCTTAATTAGCCAAACACAAATGAATTCTCAAAATAAGTTGATTTTTCCAGCTTGGCCAAACATGCTATTAATCTCATTGCAGTAGTGTATGCAAAAAAATTTATAGCCGATGTCAATATTTGAATAAGTGAACAAATGAATAAATCTCTATTGACAAGTGATGCTTTTTAACACCACTAGGAGCAAGGTATACCTTCCCATGGCCCCTTATATTCACTTTTGTGGTGCCGTTCTGCCCTACTTTGTTTAATTATGTGATGATCTCATTTAAAAGTTAAATTTTAAGATAGAACGAACTTTTATTCTCTTTCACGTTTTAACATGGTAATCTGAGCAGGTAGAGGTCTTAGAATATGAGTCACTCGCTACTCATTAACAAAAAAAATGTTCACGTACGCAGCAAATGAAAAATAATCAAACTGGTGTTTAACCAAAAAACTGAATATTTGGTTAAAGCTAGAAATTAAGAGAAATCGGGTTACTGATAATCAAGAAATGAGAGACTTTGAGAACAACAATAAAGCAATGAATAAGTATATATTTCAGTATAATCTCAATGATATTTTGTGTCCTACAGATGTTGAGACCTTCTCCTTTTATAGTTAATTCTAAGAGAAAGTGTAATGCTTTTGTCTTAATGAGGCAATTACGAGCAATAAATGACATTAAAAGAAACGTTACTCAATCATTCCTATTAAATACAAATTCTCTAACGTATTTGGCATTTAATGCTGAATTTGGACTCTTTTACGCTATCAGATTCATGTCTTCAATTCCTTCTGATCTTCGAGCTTTAAATGACTCGAACAGGTACGAGTCTCATTTCATTTGAATAATAGCTCGTGCCTTTAAGTATCTTTTCTCCCGCATCTGTTGTTGCTCGTGCCTCCTAACTGATTACCACGTTTTGACCATTTGACCAATCCACGTGTCATGACACGTCATCTTCAATATATAAATTCAGTTTTTTCCCAATACAGATAGTCCCCCCACTTTCCATTTATTTATCAATTAAATATTTGGGAAGTGGATTTTCATTAAAAAGGAAATTTTTGCCATAATCAATGCTATAACAGTACTAACGCTTCAGTTGTCTTTTCTGTTTAATGCATTGTATACGTGTCACCTTCTCATTAGCTCTGCAATTCTGCAGCCTTTTTTCAAGGCTTTTTCAACTCCACTATTCACGAAGTGATAGTTGCCTTTATTATAGGCTTTCCATCATTACACTTCTTAGCTTTTGACGGTTGCTTTTATATATAAACTTAACCCTTCTTCCATAAATTTTTACCAAATATTTCACTATTTACTCCTATTCACTTCTTCCTCTGTTTACATCTTTCTACCATGTCATCTTCGAATCCCAACCCTAGGAGAGTCCCAATTCTTGACAGTTTCCCCAATGCCCCTGTGAGACACAAAAGAGGTAGAGGAGGTAGGCTTCGTGGCCTAGGATCCATTCGTGGTGGTACCTCTGGTTCCATCACTCCTTCTTCTAGCTCTGGCACTATTTCTAGAGGTTCTTTCACTAATAGATCCTCTTCTAAAGGCAAAGAATCTTCTGAGTCTATTCAAGAACCTTTAATCGAAGAAATAGTGCCAACTGACTTATCTTTCGAGCATGATAAAGAATCCCTTCGTGACCAAGTAATTAAGTTAGAGAGAGCTGACACCTATCCTTCTTTAATTACTGAACCCTTGATTTCCACTGTTCGAAAAGATTGTCGTTGGAGGGATGACTTTCATATAGTTATTCCTAACCCAAACCAGAGAATATCTTCTTATAGGATTGGTTTTTCCTCTATTTATACTTATCCCTTTACTTTGAGATTTATTCCTGCTATCGAC